TAGTTTTGAAACAGTTCAAGATAAAATACCATCTTTTTATTCTATCACAACAGGTAATCGGAAAATAATATATCATTTCACAAATATAAATTTATAATAAAGTTTTTAGTAAAATCACAATTCAAATCGAAACACAAGTATAAGATAAATGTATTGGAAATTACCAGCATATAAAGAAGCAACCCGTGATAAAGCTAGGAAATAGCATGTAATTAAATGGTTTGATATTAGAGATACTCACATCGCACAGTCAATAGTTTCCACTGTCAGTCTGTATTAGGTATGGCAACAATGAAAACGGATCACTATTTATTACTCCCTTACACATAAGCCGATCACATTTCACATATTAATCATCTGAGATGACAGCAGCCAAACTCGTATGACGCCAAAGAGGAGCTAATAAATTAAACATCAAACGTACCGCACCAAAACACAACTTCTCCATCATTGAGGCAAATTGGTAACAAGACAATATCAAAAAATATGTCGCAAATTGGTTCTAAAAACTCCGATTTGGCATTGCGAATGTCTGTAACAAATTCAAAACACGTTTTGCGGAATAACAGTTCAACACGAATAAAATGCTATCAGTCATCAATCATTATTAAAAATCTATTATTACGGATTACTAACATGATATACATAATTTGTCAGTGTCATATGCGTTTAAGAGACACAAAAGTGGCGTTATTCGAAACCGAAGTGACGTATATTATTACCTAGTTGCACGGATAAGTGAATATAACACTAAAGGGGGAGATAATAATATCTCCTGTTTGGTGGTCATCATTGCACCAGGCAAATTATGTACACGTAGAATTTCGTTGCTTGTTTCAGAAACCCTACAACACTGACTTAGACGTTTGAGATACTCAACGTTTTGTTGTGAACGCTATCTAAATATTGTCACTCGGACATTAGAATTCAAAGCATCAGGATTAAATGCCAAAAAAAAAATCCACTTCTACCATGGAGAAAGACCCTCACTCTGGGAATTTGTCATTCCTACAGTGGACCCGAATTCATATCTAGGGGTTTAGGTATTTTTTGAGTTGGACATAAATTGCAAAACAATGTGCATTGCTTTTTGATGTAAAATAATGGAGCAATTGTTCCATGGCATCATGAAATAGCTTCCGTTCGTGTTTCACAGTGGCGTGTTTTGAGAAACTTGGTCTAATACTTTTCAAAAAGTGCTATTTTTAGAACAATTCCAGTGTTAATTACATTCGTTGTCATTATTTTGAAACACTGATTTTTAAATAGGACTACAGAAAAGTACCCCATCATTTACAATTTATGATTTTTTCAGCCTATATCACCAACCTACAATTTGAGATGTGACATAATATCTCTGCCATAGAGGATGCTATGGTAAAAACTTTATAATACTGACAAAATGGCCGCAATCCACTGATATACAACCATTAGTTTTGTCTAAAATTACGCTGGTGGCTCCCAACCATCATCAATTGTCCGGGAGTACAGTATATTGCTAAGTTAATAAATCCTGGGTATTTGAATTTATGAGTAGGCTAAAAAAGTATCGACTCCAACCTTGGGGGAAACACTCATGGATGGATAAAGTCATTGGTGTAACAGGCTTGGTAGATGTAAGCAAGTGCCTGTGGTTAAACGGCATAGCGCATTAGACTGAAACAACACTGTAAGGAAGATAGTCAGATGGCATATATATAACTCGAAATAGGGAATATGTGTTCACTGGGAAAATTAGTGTCTTTTAGGACAAACAACAATGACATCCAACATCGGCAACTGCCAACTGGGACACAACTTTTGAAGTAACGAGAGCAATAGAACTACATATAATATTTCCAATTGTATTATCTGGGTGCAATAACCGAAAATGCATTTTTATTACACTTAATGAGCGGATGTATACCATTTGGAGATTACACACTTGGATTGAAACTGACACCACATGTTCTTATTAGTTACTATCCCCAATTTTTTAATAATCATTGTTTTCAGATGTGGCGTCACGGTTGGGGGAATATAATATATCGACCTGATTTTCAAATGAACATTGAAATCTCATTGAGAACGAAAAGTGCCACGCGAGTTATTGTTGCCACTTCTCCAATAGTGATCAAATCGTTACCGTCATCACGGCCACTGTTCGCTTGCCATATATGTGGCCATAGTATTTAGCACAGTAGACGCAGTGCTGGTAGATAATGGAATACTATTTGAGGGTGTGGCTAAAACCAAGTCACGTGGCCATCTCGCACAAATCAAGATCTCGGCAGCAATTTACGAATCATGTATATGTTATCATAATAGTGACGTGAAAATTGGTGTGCAATAAATGTACTTCGACACTCAAAAACCTTAGGCAATTGGAAATAGAGAAACGATTCTATCACCGTCCCTAAACAGATGTCAGATGCTAATAGCACACCAAAAACCCACTACAGATCCCGATATCTTTCAGAAACTACTACTACTAGCCTTACTACCCCTTTCAATCATATATTTCAACAGAGCTCTCCTTGTTATTTTTTGAGGGGGGGGGGATTACAACATAATACTTTAGACACCAAGAAAAACCAAAAAAACGACAAATTCATACACGAACAACATCGCATTATTGACGTTTGGAAATGGCCAAAAGTAACACTCGAAGATGTCAACACATGACGTATAGACCACATTGACCTGAGCTTGACAACCTATCCTCGGGGGCGGAGCTACGTCACAGACGTTCCACGTTGCTAAGACGCGCACCACTGTACCATGCATTTATATGGGCTCTTTGCGCGCTGCTGTGGAACGCCGGTCGAGCCGGTGAAAACTCGAGAAAACAACACAAACTCAACTTTGAAGTAATCTCGAACAACCAAATTTATATATGTTACACACGTAGGGCTAATTTTGTTGCACTGTTCAGAGGAGTCTCAACAATCATCCCAAAGTACCGTTTTATGCGAGTGTTGGGCCTTTGTTTTCACCGCCGGAGGTTGCCAGGCGGTGAAAATGCCCGGATGTCCACCCCCGAGGATACAGCTACAACACATTCACGTGACCCATAGCATCATAGTACTGGTCTTAAAATTACTACTCCCATAATGTATGTTTCAGTCGTTTAATGACGCTCTTTTCGTTGTTAATTACATTACACGGTCACGGAATGTGTCTTGTCACTGTAGGCAGGCCCTCCTAACTGTTTCAAAAAAAGACTGATTCGAATGGCGTGCAGTGAACAAGGCCACATAGTAACTAATAAAAAACAGGAAGTGTGTATATATATATATACGACCAATTCAATGCATATAAATATATATGCATTCATACTGAAGAGTTTAAGCATTGTAACACAATCAATCAATCAATCAATCTGTAATTTATGCATTTATTTATTTGAAAAAGTTAATACATCAAATCGCGCCCTCTATCGACGACGCGCCATTTTGACAGACGCATGAAATAGACAGATCATAGCAATATCGATCAAATACATGCCTTTGATTGGGTGTGCACATCCCAACAATCCCAACGGTATGTCGTATTTCGTTATGTTAGTGAACATATATCGCATTACTCTGTTAATGCTCTCAAATGACCCTTCATTGTATATGTATTGAATTAACGGTCGAGTGTACTTTCTCCGGGTAGCGTGAAAAACTGGGTGATATATGTAATTAGGTCGATTCGCATCTGTATGTGATATCTGTCTTTCTATTTTATATCCAACTGCGCCTTCTATAGCCTGTGTGGTGCTAATGTACAGCATGCTAGTCTGATATCAGTGACGAATCCATCTGTCAACATTGGTAATACGAGGGGCGTTCAATAAGTAATGCCCCTGACCCATTTCCCATAGCTGGAGATTAATGAAACTTGGCACAGTTATTAGTCTTTCTCTACATAGAAACCACCCAGATGCAGCTCTGGACACCGTTTTTGTAGAACACCCAGGGTTGGTCCTCCAATCACGTCGTCACTTCTGAAATCAAGGCTGCATCATCTGGGAAACGCTTTCCTTTCAACAACAACTTCACCACGGCTAGGAAGAGGTGAAAGTCAGAGGGTGCAAGGTCAGGAGAGTAAGGGGAATAAGGGGAAGATTTCATAGCCACACGCCCGTGCTTCTGATCTGGCGACATGCGAATTGTGGACCGGAGCGTTGTCCTGCAGGAGGAGGATACCTTTACTGATCTTGCCCCGCCTTATGACTTTGATAGCTTCTCTTAATTTCATCAAAAGTGAAGCGTAATAAGCTCCTGTAATTGCGGTACCCTTTGCCAGGAAATCTGTCATCCCTACTCCGTCCTGGTTCCAGAAGACTGTGACCATGACCTTGCCAGCGGAGGGCTTCACCCTTGTCTTCTAATGCAGCAAACAATAAAACAAAGTTTGTAGGTGTAAAAGATGTAGCTTTAAATTTGTGTTTGATATTGCAAGTTTCTACAGGAACACCTGATGGCCTCTTGAACAACGTTGAGTGGAACAGCACAAGAGAAAAAAAGCCTCCGAACCAGAATCCAGCACAAAAAAAGAGGTGTTATTCAAATAACAAAAATTACAAATATTCAATTTTTTTTTTGTAGTCGAGATAAAAACAACACTATTACGTCATGAATATTGGATAAAGTTTGCCCAGGACTGTAGTCTATTGGTAAAAACAAACGTATGTAAACAATAAATATAGTTGGCGCTGTTCCTCAAAATGGCGCCCACATGCACGCAATGCAAGATTTGACTTCAAACGGATGGGAGTAAATCACGAGTCAGTCAAACAAATGGTCATAAAAATACCAAAATTTTCACTTTCCTGGCATGATACATGTAGTCGATTTGAATTATTCTTATTCACTCACGCCGGCGAAACAAAAGAGTTGCTATTCAACCATGTCGTCACTATCGACGGCAAAAGCCAAGCCACCGCGCCAGTCGATGTTTTGATGACGTACAGGATCAATATTTCGAGTAATGTTAAATGTAAAATACACTCATGTCATATTCAAGTCATTATAAAAATTCACTATTAATAATTTTTATTTTTTTTTGTTATGCCAAAAAACAACAACACAAAAACCTCGCATTTGTTTAATTTGATAAATACTATGCACATATGACTCGACTGTCTTCCGTATAGTACATGTACAAACACCAGTAGGTCTGTCAGACGCGCTAAAAACTCCTCAGATCCATGGTCTTAGCCATCGTTCGATTCACAAGACTTGAAACTAAAAAAAACTGACTTATTAATTATTCTCAAACAGGTACATGAAAGCAATACACTAAATTTAAGCACAATGTAGAATAATTGGAACTAGCTACGAACCGCGAGAAATTGTGTTTCCCAGGGTCGCCTGGCCCCGCCTACTGAGAATTGATCTATAAAACGATCTACTCAACAGTTAAAGTCGACCACAAAACATAACATAACGCAATAAATATTCAATATACCAACTATAAATTTTCAAATCTTGGGGTTTCAGTAAACCAATCGCAACACAACAACAACGCAAATTACCTTACAATACACAATACGTTTCCGGTTTGAAATTCCTTTGTTTATTAGTTGTTTATTAGTTGTTTATTAGTTGTTTATTAGTTGCAAATTTGTAATCGTTTCAAATGATGTTTGCATCAGTTGTTCCTCACATAGTAGGTGTGGTGGAGGTCTTAAACTGAAATTACCCATGAGCACTTTGTGCAATCCCTGGGATTGAGCGGTTCCTTTTATGTGTGAAACACTTAAGTAACAGCGCGACTAACCACTCAACAAAGGTCACAAAGATCATTATGAAATGAAAATGGTCATTGCTACTTTGCAACGAAGTGTCAAATAGAGCATTTCCCGTTCATTGCGGGACCACGCGTTATGAGTGAAATCGAACATAAAAACTGCACTAACAATAGTCAAAGCGTCGTGGTGGTGTCGAATCATCGCGTGGAATAGGACAAATGAGGAAGTTAGTTTTGGAGTATTTCAAGCTCAATTATGCACCAAATACATTCGTTGATGGCCAATTTGGATGAAATAAAGGTATATCAACGTCACACTTCTATTTGAAAGATTGACATTACGTCATTAAACTATGAAAAAGTATTTAAAGTTCAAAATCAATCTTTTGCTACTAGCGCCAGCCGTTCCGTCCGCACATTTCGCACAATACGCGAGATCTCGCAGAGAATGGAACCATTACTGATTGGTTAATTTAAAAGGAAACGACCTATGGTTTACTGTTACACGGCAATTGTTACTTAAATCCCACTCTCAAATCCAGGAAATAAGTATTATTATTTCCCAAATGACGTCATGCATTGATACAATTGAGTAATAAATGTACTATTAAACCACCAACGTGTTTAAAAAAACAAAAAACTAACAACTTAAAAACCTAGTATAGTTGATTTAATCAGTTTTGAAATGTAGCATTTAGCTATGGGTCAACTATTTTGTTTGCCAGCACGACCCCACTATATATACGTCAGAGCGCTTGGTAAAATGATTCAATTCTATTGTACAGCTGTTCATGCTCACAGCTTTTAACTAATGTGAAGCGGAAACTAAATATGCTTAGATGTTCGCTTGAACGCCCCCCCGTGCTTAATTCCGGGGCAATACTATACATATACCTTATTTGCTTATTTCTCGGCCGCCGAGATTTCGTTCAGAGCGAGAAAGCAACGTGACTCCCAAAACAGGACCCCGTCTTGCGTTCACTATTCCGAATAGGTCAGGACATATTACAACCCCAAATACATTACATGTATGTGGACAAAATCGGACAATCGAGTAACAATGACACTAAGTTATATAACACGGATATAGAGTGCCTGCAGCGTAGTGATATCCCCAAATGCGGAAAAATGTCACACCCAACGTCATCTCCGGTTCACGCCACCCACAATCAGCCTACTTAGCGGATTGATATGATGATGGAATTTGCGCGCACTTGGCCTGTTAAAAGGAAAGTTTGACCTATAGCAGCTGTTCAAGTAATATTAACCATCTGGCACTTTTTTATGCCAAACAAATTAGGATCATAGGTGTTTTATTGTTCAGTTACGTGTAGGATAATAATTCTTCCGGACTTGAGCCGCGAATAAAAACTACGTATCGAAAAAAAATCAAAAATATTTCTGGTAAAGAAATATATGAATTGGCAATTAGTACATTTGTCAGCGTTCTCCGCGATTTACTGATTCTCTTTATACGTCAAAGTTGGTACTGTAAAAACACGAATATATATATAAGTGTTTATGACAATTCCCATAGGTAACACGTGTTCTAAAAACACTACCACGATTGCAAACAAGATTATTTGTTGAAAGGTTATAAGCATATATTATAATCCGCGTCAATAGCCAGGAGCTATGTACATTTCACCGTCAAAGGAGCTGGTAACAAGTATGATACGGGCACTGGCATTTATCGTGCTTTTGAGCTTTCCTGTGGCATGTGTGGCGAAGGTAAGATACCGTGAGAATGTAGTTAATGTTGTGTTGTAAATATAGTACTGGCAGTCAGTGAATGTCTATACCATAGGAGCATCCTGTACATTTGCAATAATAGCCACACGAGTAAATATACATATATATATATAAATAACGTTGCAATATTTTCTCAACATCACTAGTTGAACTTCGTGTATCTTTTTTACATAGACCGTGGACGTGTGTTTCAAATATGTGTATTTTTCTTACATTACAAGTAATATATTACACAGGTAATACATTATTGTAAAAACAATGATTGCGTGATATGATGATTAAAGCAAGCTGTGCAGAGATTTCGACCACTTTCGGCAAATGGTGTTTTGTCACAAGCGTTTCCGTTTTCCAATTTCTCAAAACATTGAACTTAATTTCTTCAGTTTATATTTACACATATTTTTTTTACAAAAATGTGTCTCATCAACAATTATTTCCGTAAATATCAGTTATTTGTGTGTAACTTATTCTACTCATTTGATTTCAGAAACTTCCAAGCAAAAGACAGTGTGAGTATTTGATCTGCACATATTCCTGACCAATACGTATTCATATACTTCATAATCACACCACTCGTCAAATATTCCTCGTTTGTACGCAGCATATGGATAATTATACCATCAATGGGTGTATTTTTTATCTAAATGAATAAAACAACCATCTTAAATAGCACGAATGTAGATACATGTCGATGATATTTTCAAGGTTATACCTGATTTGTCAGCCAAACCTAACACCGAACAGTTAGACCAATCAGAGAGCGGCTATTTTAAGACATATTGAATTTAGCCTTGTATATGAGCTGACTTAACTGCGGACGTACATACTTCAGAGCACAATAACAATTACAGGTTTCAATCGAACGATACTACTTGTAGATTCTACATGTACTAACAAATGCAAATGGTATGCGAGCAGTTCAAATCAAATAGTTCAGTACATTCGTGACGACACATGTTTCTGAGTTACTGTGAGTGAACCTGTACCATTTAGTCTAAAAGCTCGCCGGTACCTTCCCGTGGTATTATTTATTTATAATCTGTGTTTCAGGTTTTAACAGTGCTTACTCAGGATACCTTATTTGATTGCATCCGCATGAGGGCGTCCCCATGGACAACTGTTTATAAATCGTTACCGCTTGCTGACAGACTATTTATAAAACGCACACATTGCCCACCTTACTAATTTTCACGTGTAGAGAGTATATGATAGCAATAGATGATTTTGTTTGATGATTCTCAACAGCTCTGAACCCGGTTGCGTTGTGGCCTCTCAACGCAGAACACCTCACTCGCGATGTTTCCGGTAACGGCAACGACGGCGATGCCAGACAAGTTGAGCTGGATACCACACGCCATGGAGACTTCTGCGGGGCTTATAGATTCATGGGGAAAGCTCTTTCCTTCATTGAATTCCCAAACAATGGAGCTTACGACACCCGCTATTCCATCACTCTCGCGGTGCACATCTTCCCGGAAGGACCAACTGGGCCGATATTCAACTTCAAAACCAACGGCTGGGGCGTCCATCTCTGGCATGCTAGAAACGACGACCTCGTGCGGTTCGTCACACGTTCACTTGCGTTCACCCCGGGGCTAACGCACACGTACGCACTGAATACTTGGAACTTCGTAGCAGCGACCTACGATCATGACAGTGGCATGGAGAGGCTCTTTCTGAACGGCGCACAAGTGGCTCAACGGAGAATTGGATCGATTCAGTTGGCAACGCAATACAAAGCCAGGATGGGGTCACGTGTTGGAGACCGCAGACGATTCAAAGGAATGATAACGTGTATGCAGATTTACGATCGCGCGTTGAATGCACTTGAAATCAAAGCTGCCGGGGAGAATGCCAACTGTCCGAAATGTCCTCGTCCAAGTAAGGAAATATTTCACTGGCTTACTACGTTATGTTTTATTTTTTTCACGCTGCCTTACTTTTTTACAACTTAACCCCTGAGTTATCATCATTTATGTCTCCATCTTTTACCCTGTCACGTCTCAATCTGCCTCTGTGCCAAATTGCGCAATACACCTTTTCTGTAAATTGTGCTCTCTAGTGGTGGAGTGGTGTTGCGACGTGCATAGGTGACGTTGAAGCCGGTCAATGCGTCAATATCGTTTTAATCCGTAGGACTTCGTCAATAAAAATAATTTTCAAAAGATTTTAAAATTTCTTATGAATGAATGTCTACTCATCTAAACGTAGTTAGTTATTGTCTGTCACCTCTCCTGGCCTATATGCCATAGAGAAGAGTCCTTCATAGTTCTCGGCTTTGGGTTACATTCTCTATCTTGCTGCAGTTGTATCCCAGCATCTTAATGTCTGCATGAAGATCTCTCCACGAAGTGTTCCTTAGGCGTCTTTAAATTCTCTTTCCTTGAGGTCTTCCCCCCGTGAGTGTCTGGTGGTGCCTGACACAGGTTTCCGTAGTATTTACCCTATGCATCGCTATGTTCTTCTGCCAATTTGTGCTTGTACTTGTCGTGCTTTAATGCTGGTTTTGTTTGGCCGTGGATCTTAAAAAGTCGTCTTCAACAGTTACTGATGAAAGTCTGCACTGTATTGAAGGTGTTTTTTGTCAATCTCCAGGTCTCGGAGTGGCACAAAATAACTGTTTTTACATTAAAGCGAAAGATTTTTATTTTTGTCCTTTGCCTTAGCACTTTAGAGTTCCCGAAGTTTTTGAGTTGTGGGAAAGCTGCTATTTCATTGCCTATTTTTTCTATATCTGTGCCACCTGTTTGTTTATATATAATTGTTGACCAAACGACATTGCCGCCATCATATGGGTTTATGCCACCATACATATTTGACGCCACGGAAGCGCTCGAGAACGCGATTGCCATAAATTGTGTTTTGTTCCGTAGATGTTGCAGGAGATCCCCACATGCGGACCTTCGATGGACGTGCGTATAGTTTCCAAGGTGTCGGCTGGTATACCCTGGTGAAGGACTGCTCAAACCAGAAACCTGAATTTGAAATCAATATTGATTTTGTCCCACGTGAAGACACCGGTGATAAATTGAGGACAAGAGCTCTTGGTCTGAACGTTACTGTTGGAAAAGAAAACGTTCTAATAGATGGGCAGAACGAGGTTAAAGTAAGTATTCTTATATGTAAGATAGGCAATATCACACACGTTGGCGTGACAACTAATAATTAATTTAATAAATGTATTTATTCGATATATCTTAGTAGTTCAATGTAAAGCAGTGTAATAATATACTGTCCCTCTATACTGTGTAAAAATCCAAATAAACCTTTCAACTGAACAAATAGATCATAACATATCATAACATAAGGCAATATCTCGAGATATTGATGAATTTACACACTTATTATTATAAGGAATTATATTAATTTGAATATTTGAATTATATTAATTTGAATATTTGAATTATATTAATTTGAATATTTGAATTATATTAATTTGAATATTTGAATTATATTAATTTGAATATTTGAATTATATTAATTTGAATATTTGAATTATATTAATTTGAATATTTCTGGTAGTTTCAGATGTCGGCTAAAGCTCGTGTGCGATAAAAAGACGTTTATGTGAAATTCTCCCTAACTCAAATTCTCCGCGTGCATAGATTTGTGACAACCATGTCTAGTGGCGATTCGTCACGAATTGTAAAATTACTAAGCTTTCAATTGACTCCAGAATTAACAATTATGTTACCAATGCATCCACAACTTCGTAAATGTAGTGACGTCACAAAATAGAATGCACAATCGGCGTTCATGCAGGGCTACCGATTATGCAAATGAGCCAGAATACTCTGCAATCTTCATTGCGCCCTCACAGACTACGAACTCTGCAATTGAATTTTTCTTCAGAAGCCGCGGGACTAACACGGGGAATGAATAGAATACCCTGGAATTCCATATTTATTAAATTTGTATAATAATTTCACTTTTTCGTTTTGAAAATAATCATTTATTTTACATTTACACCTATTTTGTGTCACTTTCAGTAAGGCAATTTGAGAGAATTCATATTTTACACAACTGGGCATGTTACTTCACATATATTAACTGCATTAAGGGCGTAATTTTTAGTTCTTTGTTTCGTAATTGTGTATTGATTACCTGTCCTTTTTCTATTAAAGCGGGAGGGTCGTCACCTGCGCACGCGCGGGAATTGAGTCCCAAGTGACGATAACAACACACGCTAAAACGCGAAGGCTCATTGGTAGACGCTTGTTTGTAAACAATGACACGCTATGGCCATCTGACGCATGCACAGGTGACTACTCTCCCGCTTTAAGTTAAGACTTTGTATAGATATGACGTCATTTGCACATTTTTTGTAGGTCAGTGGCGAACAACACATCAATTGCTATAAGAAAAAACGATTTACTGGTGATAGTGGGTTTTACAATCAAAGATACGACATTTACTATTGAATGGTCTGGACGGAAACATACGTTCAGGGCCGACTTCACTGGATCGTTCTATCGAGGTAATGTATGCGGGCTGCTTGGTGATGCAGACGGAGATACTCGCGATGACCTGAAGAAACCGAATGGTGTTGTCGTGAACAACATCACCGAGTTTGGAGAGAGCTGGAAAGTTGCCGACCATGAAGTGAGTTACTATACCACGGGCGTTTTGTTTGTATAACTCAAACCGCCAAGCTAGTCTGATTTTATAATTTACAAAAATATCTGCATACATGCTGGAAATGATGGTTTAATATAAGCTGTCTTGGTCTAATCGTATAATTTGAAATTTATTTCGGTCCAATTAAACAAAGGCGTCTATAATTGTAAGCAGGTTTTAGCAAATGACAGATTCAACTAGAATGCGTTTATTCAAACAAGAATAATTTCACAGATACGCCGTTTCAAATCGACAATTCAAATCCCACAGTCCTAAAAAACTGCAATTATAGTCAGATATTGACATTCTCATAGAGTGAAAAAGTATCATCAATGAGAGATTAACAACGTTTTTTTGTTTATTACAGCCGTGATGTCTTCGGAATAATGCGCAGCTTTAACCCACCGCCAAAGAAGTTAGAGTACAAATAGCATTCAATATTCGGACTTTTGGCTTAACACTACTGGGAATTTCGGTAGCTGTAGATACACAGGAAAAGCTTGGTGATTATGTTGTTAATTGCATCCGAATTATTTGATTAGTACAATTATGTTTAAATGTAATGTGTATACAAGTCATTATGTTATATTAAAATAAATACACAAATCCAAATGCTTAGCATGAAATAAAAACGTTGTTTGCATCTTTATGCAATATTGGTATTTGAGTTGAATTCAGTAAAATTGAAATGTATATAAATATTTCAGATGATGTGCAAGCTTCCTTTCTCAACTATACCAGGCATATTAAGAAATTACCATGGGAACATTCATAACGTAAAACAAACAGATATCATCTGTGTGAACATTTATTACGCAAAAAACACACACACATACTTGTATTCCGTGTGTTCCGAGGACTTCATTGGATTAACTTTCAATATAGTTGAATTAAATTTTAATATAGTTGCGATATGAACTCGATTAGAACATGTTCCTATATAGGGTTGCGTTTTAATTGGGTTTAATTAAACTCAATTACAATGCAATTCAATGTTTTAATTAAGTTT